CAAATATTGGTTTAGCAAATCTCTACCTAGAATTTGTTGATCGGCAGGCAGATTTGGCTGTTCTAGTGGTTTCTTCTCCAGAAGTAGTCCAATTTTTTGTATTGACACCTGTTATGATTTCAGTTCCTCGATGATTGTGTCAGGAAGTTATCACTCACAGAACTGGAGACCTCGGATGTGTTCTCATCCGACCTGCATTCGCAGAATTCTTCTTCAGTACTGAACTCATCAGTGTGGTGGTTAATCTGAGCATTCGGGTATACTCACTAGATGGACTCCATCCATTGTTAGAATGGTTGTGAATAGAGGAAGCCTCAGGAAGGTCATCATTTGGTGAAAATGTGACGACTTTTATAGAGCATCCAGACGCCTAGCTATTCTAAGAACTGTCACTTCTGACAGGTGCCGACAGATCTCTGTTATCGATGTTTTCACCCTCTTTATCACCCTCTTTATTCACCCTCTTTATAAGATTACGATGTCTGTCCGAGGCTATTTAAACTCCGACGATCACTTGACCCCGAGATTCTACCGAGACCGACCCTAAAGTCAACTCGGGGTTAAGAGCTTCCTTATTTATTCTGTGAGCAGCTTCATTTCATGACCAACTTCTTCCGAGTACACAACCTTCTGCACATTCAGCAAAGATTCAAGATCCCGAATTCATTGTTCAGCCGAAGTGGTGGGGCGCGGAGCGCCCCACCGCGCTCTTGTAACTTCTATAGAAGCTCTCCTCCGATAGACCAACCTACTAATCTGATTTATTAAAACCTTATTGAATCTCAAGTCACATCATTCACATTTCTATCGTTTCACTCCAGCACGGTACAGTGCCGTCGGTCACTTCTCGATTGCCGAATACGGGAGAATTGATAGTCACCAAAGATGACCACGGATCATTATTCACGAAGTAAACAGGCAGTCGGAAACAATTGGAAATTATAGCTACATAGTATAGCTTCATTATGATAAAATATCTAAGGGATTGAGAAAGATTTCAACATTTTGAACCTCGAGAAAGTGAAACACGTGGGAAAGTTGCTCGGCAACGCTTCAGCATCACTCGGCAAGCTCCAGGAGGCTTTCACGATAAAGCATCTTATTAGGGCCTAGGAAGTCTAAGATTACAGTGATTTGAGCATCGCAACATCAGCAACGGGAATGCGGCGATGAGAAGAATATCTTTTGACAGCCCGCGCAGCTTGTTGCGGATCGAGACCGTGGCGGTAAGCATCCATGTACCGATAGCAGTGTCGGAAAAAGCGTCGAATGCTGTCCAATGAGACAGCTTCAATGCACTCTGGAACCAGTTTCTGAGCTGTGGGGAACGTGCCATCTGCACGCTCACGGAAACCTGAGGGATGGTGAGAGAAGAACCAAAATCCGAGAGCATGAGAGAGCACTTAAGCCGCCTGATTTGAGCCCAAACAATCTCGATCGGATTGAGCTCACAATTAAATTTGGGGAGGAAGAGGCAAATCTGCCCCCGTTTTTCGATCAGAATCTGCAACAGAGGTTTTTCCGCCTTGAAGTCAGGCAGGCACTCAAGCGCGCGCTGCATGCAGCAGTCCACGGGACGGCCATTTTCGTCGTCGTCGTCGAAAGCTCCCCCTTCTGCGGCGTCTTCGAGATCCAGGCCTTCACGGTGCGCTTTAGCTTCGAGATTGTGTGCCTTCTGAGACCTTGCACACTCCCGACAAGTTCCGACCACCGTTGAGCCGGACTTCTGTTTATCTGCCGCGGCATTCAGCACGTCCAACAACCCGCGCTCCCTCAAAACTTGCTCCATTCCCTTTGGTTGGCCCACCAATGACTTGCCCTCTGCATCAACTGCGTTATTACCTGGCTCGAAGACCATGCTCTGGCGTTCACCAGTTGCAGGGATGTACGTGGCGTGCATTTTCGGCTGCTTACCGCCTGGAGAACAATTCATTTTGTGAGCAACAAGTGCATCAACAGCAAATGCCTCGTGCGCGGAAGAGCAGTCAAAAATACAAACCCCGCGGCCGCTGGGGTATTTAGCCTCGAAAATGTCAAGCGCGCATTTGGTCTGTGCACAATAAGCACTTGATTGACATGTTCGTGAAGGAAACTCACCTGCGCAATCAACTGAGGCATGTCCCAGTATGGATCGTGCCCAGCTCCCGGGTGGATAATGCAACAAGCATCAGATTGTTCGCACCTGTAGCGTTTGAACGGCGCAGGGGGCGGGGGAGGTGTCCACTCGAGTCCCTCAGCTGTGCGATCGGTTGCAGGGCGCGCTTTTGGAGCCTGCTTCTCCTTCGGCGCCGGCGTCTTTCTCGGTTTTTTCCCCTGCTCAAGCGTGGGTTCTGTTAAGGACAGCAAATCTAAACAAAGGGATGTCTGGTGTAGATCGAATGGAATCCCGTCGTCGATCTCCTCTCGATGGCGTTTTCGACCGTTGACTCGCAGAGTGTTGTGCATCGTCATGTTGTGGATGTTATTGTATACGCCCTCCCCGAGAGTGAAGTGGCTGGCATTCGAAATGAACGACATCTGAGAGGGAGGAGGCAAGAGCTGCAAATAGGCTGTGTAAAGGCTGTCGAGGCAGCACGACCGAAATCAATTTCGGCCCGGTCAACCGACGCACTGGAATGGCAGCCATGTGGTGCACACAGCTTGTGGAAGAACTTAAGTATCCGACAGCATACACTGCCAGCGCTCGACGACTCTCCCCACCCTCCGCATGTCATTCATCTCAAACGCAGACCATGTCATTCTGGGAGACGGTTTCTACAACAAGGATGATATCCGCGGCAACCTGAACAACATCGTCACCTATCACATCTACAGGAGAAAGCGCCATCGAGAGGAGATCGCAGGTGGGTTTCGCTGTTCTACAACAGACATCGTACTGAAACAGCCCCTCTCGCCAGACGCGCCGGAGCTGTCATCGATAGAGCCCTTGCCTAAACGTCGGCGACACGACGGAATTAAAGTCTGTAGAGGCTGCCACGTAGGGAAAGGGCGATTTAGATCTCGATATTTTACCAGGTCATTCGCAACAAGTACCTCAAACTCAACTGTGAGATTGGGAGCGGCCCCGGATATCTTCTCCACGCTGGGGAGGCCAAGGGTCGAGCAGTTATCGTCAAAGTTTATGATGGGGGCCCGACTGTTCTAGAGGTATTCTAATATCATCGGCGCGTTATCTTTTTTGACGGACTGAAGCAATTGGAATCGACGGTGGCGCTATCAAAAAGGCTGATGTGCGCACCACTCTGTTAAGTTGCATCTGACTCCCCAAGTTTGAGTACATAGTTGAGAGGAAGACTAGGCGGCGGCCTCGAGGTTAAATTTTGTGAGGTCTGGAGGTGGATACTGTATTAGTTCACCTGGTGGATTTAACAACAGGCGTGTTGCGGTCCTTCAGGAGTAGAAAAAACCAAACAGCGATGAATAGGACACATTCGGGGAGTTGAACCCCGGTCTGCGGCTTACATTTCTTACCGATCGTCTCAAATGAAGGTGACTCTGGTTGCTTTCTCTGGGTGGTTTGAACTTGAATGTGAAACGATGAAGAATCGGAAAAATGTTGAAACTAGGAACACTGAACAGGTCGGGCGCGGGGAGTCGAACCCCGGTCTGCGGCTCAATGTTTTAACCAACCCCGTCTAAATGGAGCCGCCGTGCGCCGTGCATCACACCCGATTCATATCTATCCAAAAAGTCACATAATTTAGTGGAGAATGAACCTCGGTGAGTTGAACTATGCCTGCCTCTCGCCCAAGAAAGCGGGAATGGTATCTAAACAGTTCGGGTGCAGGGAGTTCGAAGTGAATCCGTATGCCCAATTGGACTGAAGCTGCTGTGCCCCGTGCTCCACACCCGAGTCCTAGGACTGAATCTGGCTCTGTTGGATGGGTTTAATTCTGTAGGCTAGCGTGTACCCGATGCAAAGTTGAACCTCAGAGTGCAAACAATATTCTGCGGAGGACGATTAAAATTGAACCTGCGAGTAGGATTGAGGTGACATAAAGCTAGACTGCGGAAGGAATTCAGCTGAGGGCGGAGGAACAAAAAGACTCGGTTGTTGTTTAAGGTCGGGAGTCGAACCCGAGCTGCGGCTAACATCATCGACCCTAACGCAAATGGAGCTGCCGTGCGCCGTGCACTACACCCGATTCCCAGCTTTAAGGAGGTGTCTGCTGAGCGGGTGGATTTTGGAGTTGAAAGGACACTATTGGGCAATGGCTAATTTCGTAAGGTCTGCAGGAGGAGGATGTATTAGCTCAGAGGTCCTAGCGCCATTAGAGTGGGACGCGGTCCGTCAGAAGAAGAAAAAATGACACTGTGGATGGGATCATCCGGGTGCAGGGAGTCGAACCCCGGTCTGCGGCTTACATGCTTCTACAGACTACCACACACAAGTGGAGCCGCCGTGCATCGTGCACCACACCCGATTCATAGCTTGCAAACCAGTCAAATAAGTCGGTGAAATCTCGGGGAGTCGAACCGTGACTGTTCCTCGCAAAAAGACTGGATGATATTTATGGTTCGGGTGCGGGGAGTTGAACCCCGGTCTGCAACTCAAATCCACTGATCGATAAGATCAAGCAGCCGTGCACTGTGCACCACACCCGATCTCTAGCTATCCAAACAGCTCAAATAAGCCCGTAAGAAGGAATCCCGGGAGTTGAGCTGTGCCCTCTCCTTGCCCAAAAGAAATAATCCCGAGTTTTGGACATTCGGGTGCGGGGAGTCGAACCCCGGGCTGCGGCTTATATTTTTCGTAAGGAAACAGCTTTCGAATTCGAAGCTGCCATGCACACCCGATTCCTATCTCTGAAATAAAATTCGTGGAGTAGGGTTCAATTCTGTGGGGTACATCATAGTCAACCCAGTGTGACCTTCAGAGTTCCAAGAGTGTTAAAGCCCAAGAACCATAGAACCCTGGGAGTAGGAGTGCAATGACCTAAGATAGGCGGCCCAAGAAGCTCACCTGAGGGCGGAGGAAAAAAGACTGGATTGATGTCTAGGTCGGGTGCGGGGAGTCGAACCCCGGCCTGCGGTTCAATCAGGTAGGATCTCTCGCATAAGATGGAGCCGCCGTGCGCCGTGCACCACACCCGATTCCCAGCTTTCCGGCTGACTCTGTTGAATGGGGGGATTTTGAAGTTCAAGAATATTGTGCAAGACTATGGTGAGCTTCAATTTGATCATACCGCCTGGACGCCTGGGGGAGGAGGATGTATTAGCTCACCTGGGAGCTCCTGCCCGTTCCAGTCCAAGCGCTACTCGAGTGGGACGAGGTCCGTCAGAAGATGAACAAATGACATTATGGATGGGATCATTCGGGTGCGGGGAGTCGAATTTAAACCCCGTCCTGCGGCTCGCTATAGGCAATCATGCAACTTCAACTGCAGCCGCCATGCACTGTGCACTACACCCGATTCCTAGCCATGAATGAATGAGGACCCTTGGTAAGCCGACCACGATCAGTCACAAATGAAGTGACCGACACTATGCGGCCCAAGGAATTCACCTGAGGGCGGAGGAAAAAAGACTCAGTTTCGGTGTAGGTCGGGTGCGGGGAGTCGAACCCCGGCCTGTGGTTTAATTAGGTGAGATCCTCCGCTTAAGATGGAGCCGCCGTACACCGTGCACTACACCCGATTCATCACTCTGAAATAAAGTCGGTGGAGTAGGGTTCAACTCTGTGAGGTACCTCAATCCAGCGTTAAACCTCGCAGTTTCAAGAATATTCTGTCAAGCTCTATCAAAATCGACCCAGCCAGGAAGAGTGAGCTGAACCAACGGCATAGGGATGGAATTCACCAGAAGGCAGAGGAAAAAAGACTTGAACCTCAGCGCAGGTCGGGCGCGGGGAGTCGAACCCGGTCTGCGGCTTATATTTATCCAGAATTAGAGATTAGAGTAAGCCGCCGTGAGCCGTGCACCACACCCGATAATTAGCTTCAGCTCAAGCCAGAACAACTGTGTTCGCTTTCCCCCGCCTCAGAAGTTCAACAGATGTCCTGGGGAGATCATGGCTTTTGAGAGATCATTGCTGGGGGAAGGACGCACCTGTCGGATTCCAAGGTGTGGCAGGCTGAACCTCAGAGGGAGAATAAAAAGGCGCTGAATGAAAAATCATTAGGGCGCGGGGAGTGACAGTCGAACCCCGACCTGCGACTCTTGACCGCTCGGTAAACTTAAATGAAGCAGCCGTGCGCCGTGCACCATGCCCGATTTATAGTACTAAAAAATCCCAGCGTGTTGAGTGAGCTCGAAAGAAACGGACCCTCCCACCTGAGCCGAGAAACACCAGTGGCGAAGCCTGTATTTGCACATATTACTTCTCGCCGCCATCGGCCCCTGCTCCGGCCCGGCCCGGTGTCCTGGCGTCCTTGCGTCCTGCACGCCTGCCCCAGTTCTCCTCCTTCCCCACCAACATCCAAATCCCACAAACCCGTAAGCCTCTTTCCTTCCTTTCCCTTTCCCCTTCAATCCCCGCTAACCAGCTTTTAGTAGATCCATCTCTAAGACTCTAACCGCATGGCTGCCCTGCCCCTGCTCCCTTTCCTCCCGCCGGGCCTCTCCCCGACCGCCCCCTTCGCCCTCCTCTTTGCCGCACTTATCCTCCTCCTCCTCGCCGCCGCTGCCCTCTTCACGCGCCTGATGCGGCGCGCGAAGAGTCTGGGGCCCGTCCTCCCGCGCTTCCGCGTCGACGGGGCTGCAGATGCGCAGCCGCTGCTCGACCCCTCCATCTCTTCTACTTCCACCTCCTCCGAATCAGGTTCTCATGCCCGCCATCACTCCGCGCCGCTCATCGACCTCTCCCACCCGCACCCGCATCCGTCCAACGACGGCGAAGTCGTCATCGACATGGGGATGGCAATGGACTCAATGGAAATGGAGCTAGTAGACGTCTCCGTCCCGCCCTCCCCCGCCGCCTGGGCGCTCGCCAATCCGGCCCCGCCCACCTCGCCGGGCGTCGTGCTGCAACCTACCACTATTGACGCTATGAATTCCACGGACATGAATGCCATGAACAGCAACACGAACACGAATGCCATGAATCCCGCTACGAATGCTACGAATATCGCTACGCCTATCTTTGTCCCCACTATCGACGCTATGAATACCTCCGAGACCATGAACCCGCGCACGCGCTCCCACCTCCCCTCCCCCCCGCTCTCCCCCCCGCCTACTGCACGCCTGTCCCCGTCTCCCCCCGCCGCGCGCTACACCCCGCCTCTTTCCCGTCCTTACAGCGCGCCACCGCTCCCCCTCGCGCTTGCAGACCCGCTACACGCCGCGCGCACCGACGCATCCGCGGACGCCGCAGACCCGTTACACGTAGCGCCCCCTCTGCACGTGGCGCAGCACCGCGTTGCGCCCGCCGTGCCGTTCCCATTCGTTTTTGGGGTGCCGGTACCACGTGTCGAGGTTGCCGCAGCTCGCAGTGGCGAGTTGGACGCACCTGTACCACGCGTGCCCGCGCTGGAAAGTAAAGCCGAGCCTGCACCGCGTGTCGACGGCGCGCTTGCATTTCTTGCGGCTGCACCTTCACCACGCGACGAGGATCCGGAGGCGTTCCCACCGCCGCCACTTGTCGATGTGGAGCTCATCGATCTGGTTGCGGATGCGGATGGGGAGGCGGATGTCGATGGCGACGACGCGCCGGGATACCCCTTCTCCGTCCCCGCGCGTGCTTTCGGCGCGTACGATGCCGATACTTACCCAATGCCCGCGGACGATCTCGTTGACTTGGAAGCGCAGGCGGAAGTGGAGCGAGAGGAGGAGGAGGAAGAAGACCTCCCGTCCGCGGGCGCGATCGACGCTGTGATGGGCGGGATGCACGCCGATGTTGGGGCGCCGTCTTATGATTACGAGTACGACCAGGGGGAGGAGGAGGAGGCGGCGGGGTACCCCCTCCCCGCCGCCGTGTTTGCGTTCGGCGCGCACGGCGAGCACGGTGGGGAGCGTGATGGGGGGGACGAGCAGCAGACTAAGGAAGAGGTGGAGGAAGAGGAGCGGGAGGACGCGGACGCCCTGCCCTCGGCGCGCGCGATCAATGCTGTCGTAGGTGGGATGAATTTGCACGCCGGTGCTGGGGCGCCGGCATACGACCCTGCGCTGCTGTTTGGCGGGGATGTCGTGCCGGTCTACGAGCGTGGCGAGCAGGAGGAGACGGAGGAGCAGGTGGAGCTAGTGGCCCAATGCGCGCTCCAAGTCGCCAAAAAGCCGGTAAGCATCGTCCATCAGCATTCCTGAACTACAAATGTTAATGTTTTGAAACGTAAAGGCCGTCCCAAAGGTCACCAAACCAAAGGCCGTTACCAAGGTTCGCACCGGCCACCGCTTGCCTCGCTGCACTATTTTAATGCCTCCGCTTAGGCAAAGGTCGTCCCAAAACCCAAAGCAGTAGCAAAGGCCAAACCCAAACCCGTCGCTAAGGTGCGCACTCGCCGCTGAATCGTCGGCGTTGTTCTAATAACTCATGCTTAGCCGAAGGTCGCCGCCGCGAAACCCAAGGCGGCCCCAAAGCCGAAAGTTGCAGTCAAGCCCACAGTCGCAGTCAAGCCCAAAGTCGCAGTCAAGCCCACAGTCGTAGCTCAGCCCAAAGTTGTGAAATCTAAAGATATCGCAAAACCCCAACTTCCGAAGCCGAAGGTTGCCGCCAAACCCAAAGTACCAAAGCTGGCAAAGACACCCAAGCCTTAGAATCGCTCGACTTTCGGCACGGTTTGCGTTGTAGTTTTGGACGTGGAAATGGACGTGATATATACTATGATAGTAAGTAACATGATATATTATAATTTAGGTTTAGATGTCCGTCTGAGCAGATACCAATCTCCATTCTTTGTTCCCACGGTTGAAACGTAGGAGACAGAGGAAGAGGATGTGGAAGTCGGTACGTATGCTTACGATTGTAACGTCGCGCGTTGGTGTGGTGCTGATGGCTCTTTAGTTTCCGTGCTCTTCTCCGCGCGCGCCGACGCGCACGGGAATGCGGTACCGCGGCTCTTCCCCGCCCTTGCCTCATCCGCGGAAGACGCGGAGGATGCAGACGGCGAGGAGGAAGAGGAAGAGGGAGGGGAGGATAGCTACAGCGACTACACGAGCTTGCTCAATGGGGAGCGTGCTCGAGCCTGTGTCCGCGTTCCCGCCTTCGGTGCTCTTCGCCGTGCACGCCGACACGCCCGCCCTCGCGGACGCCATGCCGGCGCGGCGTCTTGCCTTCTTTCCTTCACCCAGTCGGACCCGACTCCACCCATCGCCTCGACGGGCAAGGAAGAGAAGGGATGCAAAGTACGCCTTCGACGCTACGCCTTCGTGCTGTAGGTGCGTCATTCATTCTTCAATCATCCTTCCTGCGCGCCCGCTAAGGCTCTTTCTTGGCCTCCTGCGCGCGCCGTATGACGCGCGAGGGATGGCACGCGGCGTACACACCTGCGTTTGCATATACACGATGTACTTACGTAAGGAACTCGAAATGAATATGAGCCGTTTCTTCCTTCGATGGTGCGGGTACGCGCGCTCGAAGTGCGCGTGCCCACACTCGGGGCGAGTCTGAGAGGACGTGCGAGTGCGGTGCAAATCGCTGCGTGCCTGCGGGGACGGCGCGCGGCGCCGAAATGGGAGGACGGGCGTCGAGACGGGGAGAGACCTGCGAGAAAATGGTATGACAGAGGGGAAGAACTCGGATCGCAGGCATTGTACACCTCCCTGATTGCGCACGATGAACGCGGGTAGTTCGAGGGAGCGGGACTTCACGAGCCAGCGAGTCGAGCGGGGATTAATCGAGTTCAGTTGAGTCGAGAAGCTGGAACGAGAAGATGGACGAAGGTACGGTCTATGCGGGTGCACGTAGCTAGCCCTCCGTGTACGCAGGGAGGGACTGCTTGAACATTGGCAGGTTCAGTCGGATCCACGGAGAATGCAAAGGCGGATGCCAATGCGCGCTTGTCTGTACCAGATGAACCAAAATTCAATCCTGAGAGCAGTACAATCTGGGACGAACGTTAGCTATGTCATCAGCAATTCAATCTTGTCGGCCGAGAGTGGGAAAGAGCTACTGTAACTTGACAGCGAACTCCCCTGTTCTATGTATGGGATCGTTCCCG